CCAAATTAATTGTTTAGGTAAAAAAAAAACCTAAAAGTGAATAGTATTTGCCTTTTATTATGGCAATGGGTGAAAACACAACAAACCTTTTCCAAGGGCTGCCACTATTCATGTGAATAGTAACAGCCCTTACCCTTTGCCATGGCAAATGGGTGGAAGTGCTCTAATATGCTGCCACCGCCATAGCCAGAAGAAGAAGAAGGTTCATATAAACCTACAAAGGGGATCTGGAGAGCGTGGGATTGGGGAAGCAAGCCATCAACATGCATCATGCTCAAGCAATCTAGGTATTGGTCAAAATTGACCATTAAACTACAAATCCCACAGCTCCATATCAAGATCTTAGATATGAGGATGGGTTGTAGGGGAGAAACATCAGCAAACGAGTAGACAACCAAGAAAATTCTCGGGAAAGATGAGGATATTAGGGTTTAAGTTTTTTTTTGGGGGGGGGGGGAGAGAGAGAAATAGACTGATTGAGGGTGAGTGTATGAGAGGAAAAGATGGTGAGAGTGGTGTAATGGCTAAAAAATAGTGGGGGAGGAGATGTTGAGGAGATGTGGGCTCACCTTTGATGGTAGAGAAGCCATATCGAAGGTGGTAAATGTGCCACCCTGAAGAGTGGTTGGACAGCCACCAACTACTTAGAAGAGGCCGGTGGGGAAGGAGAAAAGTTCTAGAGATAAGAGGGAGCCCTTCTCTCTAAAGCTCTCTTGGGTTAAACCCTTCAAATTTTACTTTATATTCAATTAGCTTTTTGGATGTCTAGATTTGAGTTTTTAAATCAAATGACCATGATTGAGATCTCGAAGCATGTTTCCCTTTCTTTATGGGCATCACATGAAATGCACGTGAGGAAAAGAAAAATATTTTAAACAAAGGTGAGGCCTTCTCCTACACGTGAACTAGACCACCTACTTTGCGTAAACCATGTCTAGCTCTGGCCATTGTTGCCTCTGTGTGTATCATTCTCCTTAGCATGAGCATGACCTGGTTTGAGGAGGCATGGAGTAGCCTTCAACTATCTTCGCGCATGTTCCTTAAGCATTTTCCCTAGCTATTTGAGACGAGAGTGAGTGTGCCTCATTTTCTCGGTGGTGCCCTAAGCTTCAGCTAGTCAAATGACAACATTGTGTGGTAAGGAATGTTTAAGTTGGAGTTGGAATGAGGTTAAAGTAGGAGGCGTTCAATGGTTCAGACCTAACAAGTAAGAATTCAAATTTCACTAATTTAATTCAACCATACTGTTCTGAAGTTTGAATGAGCCATCCCAGTTTTTGAACACAAACCATACTTATTTGTATGCATGGACTCAGGAATGAAGATGTTATAGGGTTGGAGTTTAAAATGGTAGAATTAACAAAGAAAAATGACATGAGTTTTGGAAAGGCT